ACCTTTTCCAGAAACAAACCAGAAACAAAAATGATAGACGTTTAAAACACATGATATTATCCACCTTGTCAAATGTAATAGCATGATCATTTCAATTGTAATGCCTTCTTATCCCAACGTTACTTTATTTCTTTGCTACATTAGCGAACACTGAACTACTGCTCGTACTCTAGATATGACAATCAACCACAAATTCCCTAAACCAGATAACATTAAACATAATCTAAAAAATCATGTGTCAATTCACGAGTTTGCTCACAGAGCACTTTGATTTTTAGTTTCTTTCGTGTTGATCTTGTTTTGCTATCTTTTTATTAATTTATCTTTTTGTTTTTTGTCAGTCTGTTTGTTTGTTTGATTCTTTTTCTTTTTTCTGTTTTTTTTTCTTGTTTATTTGTCTTTTGGGAATTCAACAGTAATATCTTGTCTGCAACGATATGGCCGAGGAGCAACACTTTCAGGAAGAATGTTACATTGAAATTTAAAAACCTAGTGGTAAGTTACAATTTATTAAGAAAGAAAATTCGTAACTTTATCTTGTGTTTTGATTTGATTTAATTTGTTTCTTCTTCTTCTTAATAATATTATTATTAATATTGTTATTAATGTTATTATTATTAATAGTATTATTATTATTATCATTATTATCATTGATATTATTATCATCATCGTCACTATTATCTCTATTATTATAATTTCTATTGTTATTGTTATTAATATCATCATCGTATCACGTCAAGATCCTATTTCTTTTTTAAGGAGTTTCTTTAAAGCGAGAGGAACTAGACTAGAAATCTTGTAAACAATTCTTTATATGTATCCAAAGTGATAAGGAGGGGTCTGAAAAATTCCGGCCAGAGCACTCCCACCTCCTCATCAGCCAGCTAGTCGCTGTACTACGTAATAATAACGGTACTTTACGGTTTTAGGATGCGCCGAAGAGAAGCTGCGTGTTTTGGAATACTTCAAAAAACAGGTAAACAGCTCTGGATGAATTGATGACATCGTTCACGTCAAATTATCAATTTTCTGAAGAACATTGCTTTTGTGCACTGGTACATCACATTGTGTGGTCACCTTTTACTCCTTCTTTTCCTCCTTCTCAGCTTCCGCATGCTCAGCGGTCTATAAAGCTGGCAGCTGGCAGTTGTTTTGTTAATTTGGAATCTAAATACTGCTCTTCTGACTGTTTTCTGCTGTCGTTCTAGTTGGTCAGGACAAGGGTGCCTCCTAACATCGAGGAACCAATCTCACACCGAGTGCAGCTGCAATCATTTGACTCACTTTGCAGTTCTTATGCAGTTTGACAGAGGAACCAGCGGTATCGTTTTAACTAAGGTAGGAATATCGCTAAACACACATGCATTGATTTCAGAAGGAACTAAGACTAGACAACATTGACGTGGCACTTTTTCCTACATGTCCACAATCCAGGTAGATGGTGTGTAGCCCTCTTCCGTTACTAATATTGAATCGCCGTTTTTCTATTCATTCTTAAGACTGACGAAAAAGCGCTGGAAATTCTTACATATGTCGGCTTGTCTTTCTCTCTGGTTGGAATATCTTTAACAATCATCAGTTATGCTGTTCTTACGTAAGTACATAATATAGTTCCACCCAAGAATTCCAAAGCAAGCTCAGAATATAGACCAACAAGAAATTATATCAGTTTAAATGTGTGAAGTTTAGATTCCTTTAAGTAGCCAAGTCGAATCAAAAATATAACCAGGCTTTGTATAAATGAGAATGGAACTGATTTAGAATAAAATCAGTTGTTTATTTTTGATCAGAGACATGAGTGGACCTTTATCTCAGATTCGAGTGAGTCTAGTCGCTTCACTTGGTGCAGGTCAAATTATCTTCCTAACTGGAAGTGGTGCTGTCGAGAACAAGGTGAGATATTGTATCAAACGAGAAGAGAAGAATCTTCTTTGTTAAATCTTAATGACATTGATGCAAATCTTAACTCAACGTTTTCATTCTTGTGCAGTCTGCCTGTGTTACAGTAGCAGCTTTTGTGCAATATTTCCTAATGGCCGCTTTCTGCTGGATGTTGATCGAGGGAGTTTATCTCTACCTGTTTGTTGTAAAAGTTTACAACATCGACGATAAGATGAAGGTTTCACATGGATTTTCATGGGGTAACTATGAATTAGAAACCCATTCTCTCTTTGATAATCTTTGGAAAAGTAAAACATGACTTACCATGAACATTGCGAACACCATCATCGTCTTAGACATCATCATCGTTTGACTCTGTTGTCACTTCGAATTTCGAATCCACAGGTCTACCCGCCGTCGTTGTTTCCATATCGTTGGGCATTGCAGCAGGAACCGGACCGGGGATTAAAAGCTATATCAGTGCAAATTTGTGAGAAGAGAATGATTTTTTTCTCGTGTGATTTCCCTGTCGCGAATCCTCATTTAATGTTGTATTTTCTTGGCTTTGTTTGTTCGTTTTTGTCTGTTGTTTTTGTTATTGTTATTGTTTTTTGGTTTAATTGATTGGTTTGATGCTGCTGCTGTTGTTGTTGTTGTTGTTTTGTTATTTCTTTGTTCTTTTGCATTACTTGTCATCAAACCTGACATGGAGGGTACTGTGTACATGTATTCGCAAAAAATAATTAATTAACTGATAATGTATTAAAAGTTTCGGATACTTGATTTTTATTCAGCTGCTGGATGTCATCATCTAATGGCATGATCTGGATATTTGTTGTATTCGTTGTACTGATCGAGTTGGTAAGTTGAATTCTTATATTTTTTTCGTTTCCCTCTTTCACGCTTTGCCTTTAGTTATCATTGCATCGTGAGCATTTCTTTCGCTTGCCGCTTTTTTTAAACCTCGTTGACTCTGTTCAATCGTTTTCAACGAAATATAAAATATGTACGAAATACACATTTTGCTTGAGGTGGCCTTTATTTCGGGAGATGCCGTCAGCGGTTACCACGCAAGATTTTCAGGTGGGTCCTGATTCGAGTCTCTCCCGGGTTGTTGTTTTGTGTTGTTTGGCGAATGGAATGATGAGGGGGGAAGGGTTAAACTTTTAAAGAACATCCAATAAGGCCGATAGGAGAACTTAGCTCAAGTGCAAACTTCTCTTTCCTTTGTATAGTTAAATTGTTTTTGTTTCATTCTGTTTTGTTTTGTTTTCAGTTAAACACGCTGATACTGGTACGAGTTATCAAGGAGATGAAAAACATGCAGCATGCAAAAGACAAAATCAGTGAACAAATGAGGTAAGTATTTTAGCGGCGCTAGTGGTAGATCCATATTAGTCATTATCCACTTACTTTGCTGTCTTATATAAATAATGCCTACTCACAACAATAATTAAAAGGAAATTATCTTGATTTTATTATTTTTCCGTGATTCTATAGACTTGGTGTCAGGGCATGCGTGTTGATGATTCCTTTGCTAGGGATCACGTGGCTATTTGGTCTTCTGTCGCCCATGCACAAAGCGTTTGCCTACATTTTCACAATTTTCAACTCCACTCAGGTAAACTGAACACAGCTTTTACTGAATGAAGTCCGTGCTCATACGGAACCAACGTAAAAGAGCGATTGGTGGATTTAACTCTGATTGAGATATTTCTGTTTTAAGTATGAATCTTGACAAAGGTAAAAGTCAGTGCTCAGAGTGCATCTCATCTCAGGGTACAAGTTCACCCGGCCCATATCTATTATGAATTCGTCTCTCCTGACACAAAAATAACTTTCACATTATCCCATTAACACATACTTGAAAAAAACTCACCCTACGTGGCTGATGAACTTATAACAGTTACAACATTATTTAGTAAACGGTGTTCAACCCTTTAACTTCCAAGATATTATTAGTAATTCTCCTCACTGTCTGCTATACAATTCTTCTGATTTTACTTGTGAGAATTTGGTATTGGATCAGCTTATAATCCCCTAATTGATACTTTTCTTGGTTCTCATCAGTTGTCTTCTTGATTTGTATTGATATTGTAAGGAGAAATTCTGTCTTAGTCACTCATGGGAATTAAAGGTTTGAAAAAGGAAAAAAGGGAAAAACAGATCATGATTGTAAGATTTGTCCATAACAACAACGACCCTCTTTACAATTATGTGAAAAAGAGTAAGTCAGTTTTCCGGAGTAAAAGGAAACCTCAATATAACATAACATTTAGTTATTTTTCACCAGTGGTCAAAGTTTTGCTTATTGAAACGGAGTCGATTTAGGACATGACAAGAGAACACTAATGGCTTCACAATCGAATACCTGAGATGATAAAAGTTTTCTTGATCTAATTATATTCCTCTCGATATTCCTGAAATGTTTGAAAAGTACCGCGTGAAGGTAAGGAGTTGTATTACCCCTTCTTTTAAAGTTTACTAGGTGGTAAACTTTGTGTAATACAGAGACAGAGTAGAGAACTTGTGATTAATAACAGTAAAGGTTCGGACATTTTTGCAGCCCAGCAACAATTAATACTGAGAGGTTTAGGGCTGGGGGCTTGAATGAAAGCGCTTTGAATCTACTAAGGGCGTTAATGTGATTTCCCCACATTGTGATTTTACAGGGCTTCTTAATATTCCTCCTTCACTGCGTGAAAAACTCAAAGGTATGTTGTTCAAGATTATTTTGAAGTCTCTTCGTAAGCTTTAGATTTTTTCTCAGATTTTTACCAGGCAGGGCTTCCGCTTTGAAATAAGGAATTAAATTCGATGTTTTTATATGTGCGAAGCACATGGAGTTTTACAATTCTTGAGATCGTTTTGATATCAACTTATTCATGCAGATTAGATCTCGCTTCAAAAGAAGGATCACTGGTGCCACCCTAACTGCAGCTGAAATAAGAGGCATTAAACGAGCTGCGCAAGTAAATGAAGTCATCAACGTGATATTGCCAAGGAAAATCAATGTCCAGCCTCGCAATAACCGTGAAAGTGGCCTTGAAATCTCTGAGATCTGAGTCGTCACCGTAGTGTTGTTCCTTAGCTTAGATCTATGCATATCTTAAATTAAATTCGTTAAGAAAATCTTAGAGCAGATATAGATAATCAGCTTCAGAGGGCTCTGACAGCTTTGTATTGATCCGAAAAGTAATAAGAGAAAATCTCACGTATTCATGATTTAAGGTCTCCTCCTTGTCGAATAAAAGAGCACTGGATACAGTTGTGTTAAGAAGGTTTAGCTAGCATCCAAGACAGGAAGAAATTTGAAATAATATTGATGAAAGCCTTTCATTGTTAATAAATGAGCAATAAATACGTTTTATATTCTCGTGGTTTCAATTTGACATGTTAAAATACCAACAAAAGTAGCCACAGTGCTAACTTGTATCAATTCTCAGTGAAAAAAAAGTTTGCACCAATGATGATAATCAAATTACAATTCCTTTATCTACCTTGTTTTTAGTAAAGGTAGGACAAGAAACCAATCATAAAGGGCTTATCTGAACAGAAAAATCTCTGGAACAAGTGCTCCGCCCCCTTAACCAGGGTGCACTTGTCGACCTTTTGCCGGAAAGGTGCGAATTCCATGCACTGAATCCAAAGGAAAATTTGCGACGTAAGCAGCGAGGTTTTTGAATGAAATGTCGGAACAGTCCCCAAGGGCTCACAACTCATTATTTAAGGGGAATAGGCTAAATATTAATGTCTTAATTGTCGTTTTCCATGTGCGCATACGAAATGTGTGAATTACATGAGATGTCTACGCACAAAAAAAATTTATCTTTCCAACTGTTACAGTATCTCCTCTTATGATACGCGAATTTTTTAACAGTGTGTGGGGATATTGTTTTGGTCATAAACGTAATGAAAACTCCTCAACAGCACCGACCTGCGTAATCAGACCTGGCTGAGTTCGACGTTCTACAAAGCAGTATCTAACCCAGCTATTCATGTGAGCCACATTTATGACAAACTTCTCATTTCTTAATGTTTTGTTACCACCATTCATAGCTGCAAAATAGGGGAGGGGGGTGGGGGGTTGCATATTCTTATGAGGCCCCCCACCCCCTCACCTCCTCCCTTATTCCCTTCATCGGCTTTCCATTGGTGTTGGCGACGATTTATCCACCTGAAAACCATGTGACCACCCAAAATCCCAGCCCTCTACCCTAAGCTATGGATAAAAACTAGCTCGTAAGAGCCATGGAGGCCCTTGTAGTTTTTCGATGAAGATTTTGAAATTTGAATAAGTAGGGGCATAACTCTTAATGGGGAAGTCAATGTTTGTATGATAGAAACTCGTTTTTCGCTTGTTCACGGCGGCGCTTTTCAGGTGAGAGCCTTGGATTATATGCTTCGAATATCTTCTTCGCGGATATTCGAAGCATTTCGGACTTGAGGTCACGTTTGTAACAATGTCGTTCGAAATGTTGATAACAGACGCGTAGGTCTTTCGTGGCGGTGAAATTTGCCTGAGACATTTTCTTGCCAGCCATTTTCTTTTGAGGATTTAGGTTAGTGGTTGCTTAATCTGCGTTTCAACTTTACTCTTAGAATTTGTACCTACATATACTGTACAATACAATTACTGATGGCTAGGAACTAAATTAGGCAAGTAGAAAGTATCCCTTTATTACTTCCGTGCTATTTCGTAGGAAGCCACGTGAATATCCATATGGTTGATGTTAAAGAAAGCCTAAAAACACCAGCTCTTTCTCAAAATGAAATTGACACTGACCTAGAACAAGCTCAAACTGTGTTTGCTCGCCAACTACTGAGCTGATAAGGTTATGAATATCTTCCATATATGAAACTATCGATTATTTAAAACATGATAACTGGGGAAAAGTAATAGAACGTGTACGACCATATAAAACCGTTTATGCAAACAACAGATAAAAAGCGCAAACATATTTACCGATCAATTTATGACTTCCAAGCCCTGGCTGAGACCAGACATTTTTCTGTAACAAACATGCTTTATTATTCCGTTTTCGTATTTTTTCGAGTGTAAGTGAAACTCCGCACGTCGTGTTATGCTGCACGACCGTGCGGCACATAAGGATTTTTCACCATAGTAGCTCTTCGGGGAATAGGAAGTACTTGCGCACGCGATCTCTTATCATAACATAAAAGATTTCCTCGTGTGGATCATGCCAAATGAGGCTTTCTGCCATATAAAACTGTGACCAAATGGAATTGCAATTTTTTTTTTCATGTAAAATTTTCCTTGTTGTTGTTCTGATGCAGAATCTCTGCATGAGAACGAGTTGGAGCACAAAAGGGCAGAATTCCACTGTAAGATATAGGAAGCGGAATTTGTTTTGTTTGACGATTTCTCAGATGCAGACATTGATTCTCTAATTGATGATGCAGTTCCTAAAAACACCAAGAAAGCAACTGCTTGGGGAATACGTCTTTGAGAGGTATGGTTGCGAATTTCAAATTTTTTTAGTCAGGCTAGTTGATGTGTTTTAGCGTGTTTTCAACAGTATGAATTCAGTGTATTCAGTTAAATTAATAAAAATATTAACGCACTCCTTGCTCGTGAATTATCGGCATTTACCTGTACGCGTTCACAAACAATGAACTCGAAATGTTCTATACCGGACTTGGCAAAGTCTCGAGCGGTATTGAAATCTCTCGTCCAGTCCTAGTGAAGTCGTGCAAGTAAATCCCCATGATTCATTCCCTGAGTGTGTAAACCTGTAATTATACCGTGAAAATTATGCAATCGAGTTCCTGTGTCAAATTCGCCCTGTCCATTGATTTTTGCAGGAGAATTATCCGGGTAAAAGAGAAGAATAAGCGGATTTGGAGAAGTTCAAAGTCCGATTGAACTCTTCGACCATGCTTAAAAATAGCCAACTGGTTTTTCTAATGCTGATTGGAAATTTTAAATGCATGACTTTTTAGTGCATTCTCCTAGACGCTTATAACAATTACTCACCACTGCAAGTTTTCCCATTTCCTGAATACCCAGCCTTGCATTTACATGTGTAGGACCCAATGATATTATTATAAACGGCGTTGACGTCACAGTTGTAATAATTGGAAGAACACTCGTCTATATCTAATAGAAAAGTATGAAAATCCTCAATAAAATTCATTTAGAAATTTCTAGGGCTGATAAAACGATAAATATGTAATTTTCCTCTCGTGTTTACCTCAATAAGGTTTTGTAGGGACATTAATATCGGTAAAATAACAGCAGAAGAAAAACATAAATGGTTTGTGGATGTTGAGACAGTTGGGCTGTGGGGGACTTTAAAGTTCATAGGGTTTATTTTACTACCTTGGGACAATCCACTAGTGTTTGGGGCAGTGAGATGGAAACGAGACAAAAATCTCAGAATTCTGCCTTTAAGGCGTAATGAAGTATTTTATGGAATACGAATAACTAAAGAACTTAAGCAAAACTGCACGGTAGCAACGAAGTGTTAGTCGCTCCGTGTATCAACGTGAATTTGTTGTAGGTTTGACAATGGACAAAAGTTTCAGTCTAAGAGTGTTAGCTTGACATAACTGAATAAAGAGATTAAGAGCAGCCGATTGGGAGAAGTGCCAAACAAGACATTGAAATCAAAGGTCAAGTAATCAAGCAACTCTTTAGTTCCCGATGGACACACTCTTCGCCGTAAAGATTGAGATGTAAAGTCACGTGCCCCTTGTGTGACGAGATAACTCAAAACGTTTTCGTCAGACGAGCAGCTAATGCTCGGCAGGCGAGCCTCTCAAGAATCGACGTAATAGTGTATCAGTCCTTTTCAACTTATGGTTGATATCCCTATTTGATAATAAAGTGAATGGTCATAGGAAGTGGCTCAACACTGATTGCTAAGAAATCATGGAGAGTGAGACTGATTGTTATGTAAACTTAAATTTATAACAATATCGTTAAGTTTCTCTAAAACAAATATATGTATATATATATATATATATATTTTTTTTTTTAACGCCATTGTTTGCTACAAACTCTAAAAACTGTTAATTGTTATTTTTCCTTCTTTTAATAACTTATATATATTATTAGATAGATGGGGCTCCGGTCGCATTACTTGAGCACTAGAGTCTCGCTTGATCGATAAATTATCCATCTCGTGCTTCAGTTCCATTGGCTGGTCAGGAGAAGGGTGCTACGTCAAATCTACCGATGCTCACCAAACAGGGATAACTGTATGATGTCAAGTTTCGTTCACGGCACAAAAACCCTCGTTCACCGTTAATTTTCCGAAATGGTGAAAGACTGAAAAATTCAACATTACACTAACGTTTTCTGATACCTGAAAACGGATGGAAAATTCCCTGTTCAACATTGTGAAAATTGGCCGTTATTGAATTTCCATCTATATCGTGGAACAATACAAAGCCAAAAACAGAAAAGACAACGAAACAAAACAAAAATAAGGAAAAAAGATAACTCATTTTCTCACAGAAGAAAGTCCTGATTTCTTTCAAGTTTTTTCGGCAGCTAGTCCCAACCTTAGGTTGGCTTGTCAGTGCATTATCCGTGATTTGCGATCAGAGCACCATTTTCTATACAAGACAAAATTGTGGTTTCAGTTTTTACACATGATTTGCCATTTATAGATGCATATGTGTTTTGAATAAATTTCTGCTAACTGTTAATGACCACACATAACATTATTTCAGTTCCTTAGAATTTTTATTCAGTAGATGAATCCATGGTATGAGATTTGCATCCGCTTTTAAACGGATGGAAAGGAACAAGATTTAACGCTTGAAGTAAAAGCTCTCCGTGGGATTGAGACCACATTACTCTTAACGTGTTCCTTTACAGCATTGGTTTGTTCTTTTTTGTACGAAACACAGTTTCGGCGTCCCCCCCTCCTTAAAAAAAATGAGGCAATGGTGAGGCTTTATAATTTGGTTGATATCGTCTCTTAAAATTGCTTCAGAAGTTATTGCACCGCCTTTGCTCTGCAAAACACATCAAGGACAGGCTAATTAAATTACGGAGTGCTTAGGCTTTCCGCGGTCTGCGCATACATGGGCCATCCAAGGACAAGGTGTAGCGTGTCTGAATGATGAGGTTAAACCCCAATCAATTTTGTTTCCTTCTTCTGTTCATGTTATGGATTGTCTGTCTCGTTATCACCTTTTTACAAAACAAAAACAAAAATCTGAACAAAAGACACACAAAGAAGCTAATGCTTTTCCACTTGAGGGAGTGATAGAGCAATTGCGATTATTTACTATACTGCTGCATATTTTGCCACCGCTGAACATGAGCTGATAACGGCAACTAAAATAATCGTCCAAGAAACACCATATGTTAGCGAGTGATTGGAATCTCAATTGCAAAAACCAATCACACTGCCTCGGTGATTATCAACGTAGGACATTCATATAAATACCCTGACAGTTTTCAATTGAAAAAAAACAAAGCATGTTAGAATTAGATATCGTTTCTGTACCAGGGTTTGTATTGTTTTCTGTTGATTTAGCAGCCGGATACCCGATAGTCACAAGTAGAAATTTCAGTTTGATTTGCATAGGAAAACTGGAAATAATATTGAATCTATACAAAATGCTGTGTTATGGAAAACCTTATCCTTTTATAAAGCCTTCGCCATCTGTGTACGAGGCGATAGTAATCTGCCAATCATCCACCTGTGCGTAATTTTGACAATCTGACACTGGAGATGCTATAACGAATCTACGAGCTAAAAGGCTAAGTTGCTTTTAGGCCAAAAGGGGAAAAGATTCGGACTCGAGCTGTTTATAGTCTCACTTCGCAGTAAGTGAGACTTACATCAAATCACTTTACATTGCTATGTAGGACCTAAGTAAAGCTGTCTGACTTAGCAATATTTCGAGAAAAACTAAAGCTAGACATCGTTTTGGGAACGAAATAAGAAATGATAGTTCAGAGAAAACCTTTGTTTATAAATTTGAATACGAACACTAAAAGAGGACTGACTGGTTAGTTTGCAATGGTTAGGGATTAGGGAAATTTTTCGAGACACTCTCATTGAATCATGATTAACAGCAGCCACATAAGTCATGTAACGGCAGATAAAAATAATGTCAAAACGCTGCATGAGAGGGATTACGATTTACCATTTCACCGAGAAGGTGACGTTGATAGCTCTAGATGAGTTTGGGATTTTTTTCGTTGAAAAAGTCGCATGTATAGTTATTAGCCAATTGCAGAGTGCAAGCCAACTGCCGCAAACTTTTTCAAAATCAAACAAAAACATATCCTTTCCACTAGGTTTTCGATCAGACTAAACATTTAAGGAAGGGATTTGTTGCTGTTTGAGTTTGAAAAACTTTGCGGCAGTTGTCTCACACTCTGCAATTGGCTAATAATTATACAAGCGACTTTTTCAACAGAAAAAAACAAAAAACAAAATAAAAAAAGCAAAAAAAACATAAATATGTATTTATTAATTGAAATTATAATGATAATAATAATACATCTAATAGACAAATATTTGGCTTTTTAAGACCATATTTATGCGCCACAATCATGGTTCGGATACATCCGCTTTAATAATTACACGCAAGGATGACAGGTACCCTTTTCGTGCGACTGAAGTGGATAGTATTTCAATTTTATTGTGGAAAATTACCTATTTAACCATTATTGTATGTAACTTTCATAAGCGCCGCTGGTCAAGTGAAAATTACGAAGTTTTCTTTGGAAACAAGAGGCCGAGGCGTTTTATTCCAATGCTAAATATGCGAGAATTTCCCATTAGTAGGTTTATGACTGAAGGCGTCGCAGCCGTCGGATGACGTCAGTAAAGGAAGTAGCCATGATTCTCGAATCCTTGAGTCTGTCTTAATTTTTCGTTTTCTCGTTTTCGTCAGTCTCCTTGACCTAATAATCCTCGTTTTGTCGGGATTAAAATGAAATATTTTATTTCCCTTTGATACCACTAGGGTAATGTTTAACATCCTTGTTCTACATCCTTCAATCGCTATCCGCGGTCAGCTTGGCTAATTTTTAGTCTCTCAAGAAAGTCTATAGTCGTAAAACGCCACTTAAATAGCGGAGGAGTTAAAATTCCAATTGTTTCAATTGTCTAAGAAAAAAAATTTTTTTTTTGGTCTTTTATTTAGGGGTGCCAAAAAAGGAAGTATATTATGATTAGATGGAGGTTTAACCTGAAAAGGACACCTACTGTGTTGAACACTCTTTGTTTTTTTTAATCATCATTCATTACACATCTCTCAGTACCGATGTCATTAACACAAATACGTCAGTGTGTAGAATTAAAAAAAAAAAAAAAAAAACCGAAAAAAAAAACAGTGGTGCGACTCATTGACTTGTCGTCCGCTATTTCAAATTAAGACAATAGCAAATTTGAAAACTATTTTTTTGGTGTTAAGGGGCAGTTAAATGAAAAAAAGTACCCAGGGTGAGAACATTTTTTTGTTCCTTTATAACGAACACACTCACACACAAAACCAAAAAAACCAAAAAAACATCCGCTTTGAGCAATTTTTAATTCATAGCCACCTGCCCCTTCATAGTAGTTTCCGTGACACTTTCGTATATGAGAAATAATTATTCTTGTCATGTCTTGGTAATGTCTAAATTTATAAAGGAAATACAGACCCAGTTATTCGATTTAGTACTAACAAACCCAAGGAATAACGTGTTAGAAACTCGCGCCTAGTTTGGTCTCTGCTTTATTCCTTGTTCGCTTAAGATCTAACGTACCACTGAGTCTGAAGTCTGTCCAAAGCTATTGAAGAAAGACCAATACCTTCATCATTGTTTCACGAGACGGTGAACCCAAAAATGCCGAATACGTATCTGAAAGTACGAAAGAAAACTCTAGCCAAATTGTTCAGGAGAATGGTTTTTCTTGCACTAATGGTTGGTGAGTATGAAAAACTCATCTGGTAACCTTTAAGTATGTAAACTTTTTAAGAAGACTCGATGTATTAAATAATCTATTGGTTGTATGTTGTACTTTCAGTTTCGCTTTTATTTTTTTCGGAGCTCTTTAAAGCTCTCTTAAGAACTCTTTGAAGGGAAAGTACAGTCTAAAAATTTTACTTCTGTTGAAAAAATTTTTCGTCAGGAATTTGAAAATAATTGCCGTTTTGTCCAGTTCGGAATGGAACCCAGACAAATGCGGTTAAAACAAATAAATTCTACTTCGCCAAACACCGAGGCGTCATTTTTAGTAAGATCGATATCCTAAGCTAACAATGTTTGACAACGGGAGACTTCCTGACGCTCCTCGTGTAACACGAGGCTTTGTTTACATATCTGAAACAAAACTTGGAGCAGCAGACTTCCGATTAATTTTTCCCAAAGTAGGTTATGGGCTTATTTCTCTAAAATACTCTTATTATCGATTTTGCTTCGTTCACTTCCATTTTTACTCATAATTTATAAAAGTAAAGGAGTGAATTTCCTAGGTCTAGTGACCTTCATTAGGAAAAGAAAGCATACAAACTATAAAGGTCTATTTACAATTAAATATTATGATAAAGTTCACCCAAAGGACAAAAGATTACAACACCACTTTTAATCATAAAAGGGTTGACAATAAACTGCCATCGTTTTTCTTTTTCGGTTTGCATCAAACCGAAACTTGCAAACAACTTTAACGTTTCGTTTGCATGAGTTTTGTGAAAAATGTTTATTTTGTCGTTTCCTACTCATTTGACGGATAATCTTCAAGTCTCTCATTTCTCATTTGGTGCATGCCAACAAGGGCTGTTTTGAAGACGTTGGCTAGAAAACACACGGGTCCAAATGGTCCGTGCTCAGTAATACTCCGAAGCCTCGTCCCAGCAGTTTCAATAATAATTTACATGAATTAGCGATGTCAAATAAATCCGTCGCGGGCGCCGCGCCGTTTTTTGTAAAAACTAAAAAACTGTTACTTGAGAAGCAAAGATTTTATTTAAGGAGAATTAGTTATCTTGGATTCCAGATGGAGTCGATCACCAAGTAAATTCATTGCTTGACAGCATATACTCTTTTTTTCTGATGGCAGCTCACGTCAGTTGCCGCAAGACCACCACTCGTGATTTCAAAGACGTCAGCGCGTAAATTGAGTTTTGAGTGTAATTCGAACGATTTTAACCGCAGTTGCCCCTATATGGTTGACTAGGAAGTCCCACATCTCCATTAGATACCCTATTATCTATGCTATTGATTCCCTTAGGCCCCCCCCCTCCCCCTTTGTTTCGATATGGTTGTGAATTGGGGAATTATTTCTTTTGGTTTTGTCTCTATTACAGCTGGTATGACCATGCCAATTTCAGCACAAGGTATGTATTGTCTCAGCGAAAAAAAAAAAAGGCAAATGGAATATTATAAATGTTTAACATTGTTCAACCAGTTACAACCAGTTAACCTCTGCCGTCACAATGACTTATCTGTTGCTAAATAAATATTAACAAGCGACCTATTCAAAAGAATCGCCAATATGTTATTGCTTGTAATTATCCAAAAGAGAGGGAAAAGCAAAGAAAAAACATCAAACTCAAAGCGGGACCCATCCTAAACAATTTAGAAAAACTTCAGAAAAAAAGAAGTTTCTAAACATCCTGATAATCTTTTCTTTTTTTTTTTTTTTTTAAATTTATTCTTCTATACAAACTCTCGATACCAACCACTCACTACTTCGTTCAACGAGTGGAAAGTTAGAAGTGAGAAGTGAGAAGTGGAAACTGACACACAAAAAAAAACAAACAAACAAACAAGCAAAAACAAACACAAAAATAAAAACAAAAACAGAAACACACTCACACCCACAGCCACACAAACGGAAACCGAAACTACAATGCGTTATTTACCGCTAGGGAAAAGAAGGTGGGATTGAATTCGAGCAGTGAAAGGATATTCGAACAGTAAAAAGGTAAACAAATCAAGCGGAAAACAAAAAAACAAAAAAAACAAAACCAAAACAAAAAAAAAAACAGCAACAGCACTTCAATAGTCTTTAATTAATGTTTACGTATCTAACGCAGATGGGCATTGCTTCCGCCCTAATGATACACTCGGACCTTTGGAGCTGAACCCTCCAGGCTGTCAGCAGCATGTTCAAGAAACGCTTCAGTACTGGCATAGGATGAAATGTGGCAATGAGACACCTACATCTATTGACAAAATCTGTTGTAGCTCTTGGTGTGAGCAGTTGACTTCTTGTTTCAGTCAGGAGCGTTCTTGGAAAGAAGACTGTGTTAGAATGTGGAGGTGCAGGAAAAATGAAAAACCTCG